GGGGAAGTTTGAAAAAGAGCGAAGGAGAGAGGGGGAGAGGGGGGGGGGGAGAGGGCAAGGAGGCTATTAGGCGACAAAAGACACGTTGGGAACATGATCTCGTGGGAACACCTAGGAGATCGAGTGTACATGAGATGCGATTGAGGGAGGGGGGGGGGGGTAGAGGGGGGAGGGATATAGAGGAGGGGGTACGTGGAGGGGGGAGGGGGAGGTGGAGTGAAGGAGGATCAGGTGGAGCACTTGGAGAGAGAGAGAGAGAGAGAGAGAGAGAGAGAGAGAGAGAGAGAGAGAGAACGAAAGTGAGAGAGAGAGAGAGAGAGAGAGAGAGAGAGAGAAAGATATAGATAAATAGATAGATAGACAGAGAGCGAGAAAAGGAGGCGGTCTAATCTGAGATAAAAGTGGGGGAAGCAACAGTAGGGGGGGGGGTTAAGAGGGGGCGAATTGAACCAGAAACGCGTCTTGGGTTTCCTATTCAAATCTCCTGATCTTGAATGGAAGAATGCTAATCGATTCTTGGTTGTATGAGCGCCTTGTGTTGTTGTTTTTTATTATGTTGTGTGTGTTTGTTTGTGTGTGTTCTTTATCAATCTTTCAATTTGATTTTTTTCTTTTTTATCTATTTTTTGACTTTCTTTTTTATTCTCCTTTCTAACCATCTCCCTCTCTTCCTCTTTTCCCTCCCCCTCTCCCTTTCTTTCTCTTCCTCTTTTCCCTCCCCCTCTCCCTTTCTTTCTCTTCCTGTTTCCCCTCCCCTCCCTCACTCTCTCCCTTCCAACTCCCCCTCTTTCTCTTCCCTTCCCTCTCCCCCTCTCTTCTCTTCCCTCTCCCCCTCTCCCTCTTTCCCCTTCCCTCTCCCCCTCTCTTCCCTTCCCTCTACTCCTCTCCCTCTCTTCCCTTCCCTCTACTCCTCTCCCTCTCTTCCCTTACCTCTCCCCCTCTCTCTATTTCCCCTTCCCTCTCCCCCCTCTCTTCCCCTCCCTCTTCCCCTCTCCTACTCTCCCCTCTCTTCCCTTCCCTTCCCTCTACCCCTCTCCTTCCTTCCCTTCCCCCTCCTTCTCTTCCTCTTCCCTCCCCTCCCTTCCCTCTCCCCCTCTCCTCCCTCCCTTCCTCTCCCCCTCTCCCTTCCCCCATTATCTCCCCCCCCCCTCTGTCCCTCCCTCAATAAATCATCATCGCCAAGACGCGTCCAAGATGCTGTAGAAGAGATAAACGAGGTGCCGACTATGTCATTCTCGGATGCACTCGCGGAGAGTAATGGATGGTTTAAGAATCACACTGTTTACAAAGTCCGCGCGTTGATGGATGATCTGGCGAAAGGATGAGTGGATGAGTGAGTGGGTGAGTGAGCGAGTGAGTGGATGTTAGAGGAAGTGGGTGAGTTAAAAATAGGATGATTGAGTGAGTGGATGTTAGAGGAAGTGGGTGAGTTAAAGATAGGATGAGTGGATGAGTGAGTGAGTAAGTGAATGAGTTAAAGACAGGACGAGTGGATGAGTGATTGGATGTTAGAGGAAGTGGATGAAGATAACGACAGGATGAGTGAAAATGAGTGATGATTTGGTGAGAAGATGAGTGAATGAGTGAGAGAATGTGGGAGGAAATGGATGAATTAGCAACAGAAAAAGTGGATGAATAAGGGGATGCAACATAAAATGGATGAGTTAGCGACAGAATGAATGAATGAAACAGAAAATGGATGACTGATGATCTGGCGACAGAACGAGTGGATGAGTGAGTGAGTGTCAGAGAAAACGAGTGCCGGAAGTCGTAAGCGAATCGAGTGAATAAATGAATGAATAAATAAGAAAGTAAAAAATATGATTCACGAAGAAAAATCGAACGAGAATAAAAACAAATAATGGAATTGATTACTTATTAATATGTTAAGTAAGTAGCTTTTTAAGGATCAACCATTTAATCGAAGAAAAATAAAAAAGAAACAAAAATAATAAACAAGAATCGTATAACCCTTCCCTCTCCCCCTCTCTTCCCTTCCCTCTCCCCCTCTCTTCCCTTCCCTCTCCCCCTCTCTTCCCTTCCCTCTCCCCCTCTCTTCCCTTCCCTCTCCCCCTCTCTTCCCTTCCCTCTCCCCCTCTCTTCCCTTCCCTCTCCCCCTCTCTTCCCTTCCCTCTCCCCCTCTCTTCCCTTCCCTCTCCCCCTCTCTTCCCTTCCCTCTCCCCCTCTCTTCCCTTCCCTCTCCCCCTCTCTTCCCTTCCCTCTCCCCCTCTCTTCCCTTCCCTCTCCCCCTCTCTTCCCTTCCCTCTCCCCCTCTCTTCCCTTCCCTCTCCCCCTCTCTTCCCTTCCCTCTCCCCCTCTCTTCCCTTCCCTCTCCCCCTCTCTTCCCTTCCCTCTCCCCCTCTCTTCCCTTCCCTCTCCCCCTCTCTTCCCTTCCCTCTCCCCCTCTCTTCCCTTCCCTCTCCCCCTCTCTTCCCTTCCCTCTCCCCCTCTCTTCCCTTCCCTCTCCCCCTCTCTTCCCTTCCCTCTCCCCCTCTCTTCC